TTTCTTAGCGGATGCCTACGTCATAACATCTACCTGCATGCCAAATTTCAGCCCGATCCGTCCATTGGTTTGGGCTGTGCTTTGATAGATCACTATGTCAGTTAGTCAGTTAGTCAGTCAATCAGTCAGTCAGTCAATCAGTCAGTCAGTCAATCAGTCAGTCAGTCAATCACTTTTGAGTTATTTAGATTAGCGCCGCGACTTCGTACGCGTGAAAATAGTTTGAATAATTTCCGTTTTTGCAACACTTTTCTTTACTGCTCCGCCCCTATTGGTTGTATGGTGATGTTATAAGCCTAAAGCCTGCCTCGATAAATGGTCTATCCAACACAAAAAGGATTTTTCGAATTGGACCAGCAGTTCCTGAATGTAGCTCTCTAACAGTGAAAGATTTTTTTAAACAAATTGATGAACTTACAAATACCTCTTTTTAATTGACTAGCTGCCCTGGTGAACTCCTTATCACCTATGTTCGTCAGAAATAATTTAGGATTCTAATGGTCAAAGAATTTTTCAAATCGGTCCAAAGTTTCGGAGCCTATTCATTCGTTCGTTCATTCGTTTCAGCCAAATGACGTTAACTGCTGGATAAAGGCCTCCCCCTCTTCCCGCGACCTTCACCAGATCGTCGGTCCACCTAGTAGGAGGTCTGCCCACGCTACGTCTTCCAGCCCGTGGTCGCCACTCGCGAACTTTTTTGCCCCAACGGCCATAGTCTCTACGAGCTATGTGCCCCGCCCCGCCTATTCATTACAAACCATTAAATCTTCCCTCTTTATAATTTTAGTGTAGATTGAAGAACATGAACATTGAAACATGACTGATAAATAAAAGCAAGGATTTTAGGCAGAAAAGTTAACATTATAATTATTTTAACTGTTTAGTTAGGAAATGTTATACACGTCACGATGTCAAACCTGCCTGTACCATAATATAAACCTGAAATGCAGACAGTTGATCACAAAATGTATAAAAACTGCCAGTTAAAATATAATACACAATTATTGTAAAATTATTCGTAATTTTTCATTTTTTTCTTGATGAAAACTTAAAGTAATAAACAAAATAATAATAAAAATATAAAATAATATACAGGAAGGAATATTCACTTTCTACTTCCGAATAACTGTAATTTAAGAATGTAGGGTTAACAGCACATAATCTAAACTATTTTGTTCAAATACAACTTATGTTACCACTGCATAAGAATCATTATGCAGTCGTGAATATATCATACCTACTCATAGTTAGGTACATTTTAGGTAATACAAGTAACAAGTATGATTTATATGAGTCTATTTATATAAGTCTGACCTCGCAGTTATGCAGCAGTCAATTATGAATACATAATTTTAAATATTATGAATGGAATAAAATAATGTGAAATAAAAATTCCTTTTCAGCTTTGTACGAAGAAAAAACAACTAGGAATGTAGATAGACATTATTTTTTAACCTTTAATGTAAGAATGTAAGTATTTTTGATAATTTCATATTACCTACCTAAGTAGTAACTTTACTTTAAAATAGATAACTATGTATTCTGAAGTACATGGCTTAATAATCTATCTCTTAGTAGTACTTACGAAAATTTTTGAGTAGTAACTGAAAATATACAGCCGAAAATTGTACAACTCTGCTTTTAAGGCTGAGTTCACCACCTAACTTTAACTGTAACTGTAATGATAACCGGTGTTTTTTGTATGCATGGAGTTTGACGATGGTGCAACAATAGGAGTAGATCAAATACCTATCATTTAACAGCCTCTGGTAAATTGGAAGAGGATCGTACTCCAGCAGTAGAGATTGGTGGCCGTTAGGGCAAAAAACTTCTCAAATGGAAGACGTAGTGTAGACAGGCCTCCCACTAGGTGGACCGACGATCTGGTGAAGGTCGCGGGAAGTACCTGGATGCGGGCAGCGCATGACCGGTGGTTGTGGAAATCCTTGGGGAGGCCTTTGTCCAGCAATGGACGTCATTTAGCTGAATCGAAGGAATTAAGTGGAGATTGAATGACCTGATGATGATAAGAGTTACTTTGGTACCCTTTGGATACCGAACCCTGGAGTAAAATTATACACTTTGCTATTTGCTGCTAGTGAACCATATTGTCACGATTCTTAGTTCGTTGACATGGACGTCGTAAAAATTGTATAGAAATGACATGAGCTATTTAAAAATCACACGGCTCAGTGTCATTGATCCTACATTTCTGCCCACACAGATTCTTTGTTTGTGTTACCCTAGGCTCATAATATTAAAACAAATGTTGAAAAATAGTAAGTTTTCGGTGCCATTTATTGTTCAGTCCCAATGAAAACCATTTGTTAACAATAAACTGTTAACTTTCATTTGAGACAGTTTCATTTGACTCGTATTTAAAAAAATGAGGTTAGGACAGTTTCTGAACTAAAATACAAATAAATAATTTAAGTTAACCCGAATAGCGACTATAATTGCATGCCCACTCAATGCGACAGCGTTTCGGAGCGTAACTCCAAATTGTCACCCAAAAACAATCTTTAAAACAATGGCATTAAAAACAGTTGTTTTACAACAAATAACGGGTTTGTGATGGCTGATAGCCGAAACTGTTACAACGTTTAGTGTACAGTCAGCCTCAAATAGTTCGTGATATTCAAAGTTGCCAGGACCCCGATTGCGCCAATAAATGTAATGTCTCCGATTCATTCGCGTTCACACTCCAGTCACGCCATTTTCATACCAGTTGATGTGCGGTAAAGTTCACACGCAAACAAAGACGAAACAATGGATTTAAGCACTTTCCATTAAAGTCCGAGCACCTTATTTTTTCACTAAAACACAACAAATATTCGTGAATCGTTTGACTTGCGTTTAAGAAAAAGTAGTTTTCTGTCAGCTTATACACAAAGCCTCAGTTGCGGTACGTTTGCGGTACAGCTTTGTTTGAACTAGCTGTCAAAGCGACACCGCGATACGGTTTTTTTGCAAACATCTAATACCTAATTATCGTTCGTCGTCCAGTTGCGTTGCAGTTAAAAACACACGTACGTCTTTGTTACAATTGGAGTTAGGTTGTGTTGTCAACATTTTGGCCACTTTAGATTTGACGCTGACTGTACAATCGCCAGCGTAACAGATAACTGTTCAAAAATCGTAGATAATGTATAGTAATGTAACTTGATATCTTGACTGTACAATCAATTTGGTGACGTCATTAAAAATTTCAATGTCAATTAAGAGATTTATAATTGTATTCCATTAGGCAAATTATGGTCACGTGATTGTTAGGTTAGGTATTTGACTACAAAAACAAGAACATAATAGAAAATATACGAGACTCAACAGTGAGCCCTGCGGTGTCCATCGTGATAATCAGGCATTTAGTCTCCAATGCAGGAGTACGACCCTCTCTAATTTACCAGAGGCAAATGGAGGATTTGGCCTGCACTCCCCACGCTGGCCAGACGGGTTGGGGAGGCCTGATGTTCGCATTATTTGTCCTTTAGTCGCCTTTTACAACATCCACGGGAAGATTATGAGACATTCTACTCCTCCAACATCACTTTTATCATTATTTTGATATCTTTTGGTGAAACACCAGTTGAATATTTAGATTTCTACGAAAAGCAATCAAATAATCATTTACTTAAAATTGTTTTGACCAAGACAATGATACTAAATATCTGAACATGTAGGTCGGATATTAACCCAAAAACATGGCACTTGTCATGGTCCGATTCCCATATTGAGGCTCTTTTGTTTTTGGTAAACAGTTTGGAATGTGTAATTATAGGACAAATACATATTTAACCGCACATCAATTTACCACAATATACTCGTACATGCCGTGACGTCACATCGACGCTCTGGTACGGACACGGGGCGAATGGGAGGGAGAGTCGAATTCCAGCAAAGTACGCAATTAGCACGATCGGGTTTTAGTTGTTCTCGTATTTTAGGTTCAAGTTCAATGCAGGGAAATACATTGACATTTTGTGGTTTATACCGATGACTGTTCATGCCCATTTTAACTGCCCAAACAATGGCTAATTCACAATTGCACACTAATTTATTTAGTAGTTGATATTTATATTTGTCAAAAAACTAAAGTTACAGACGCTCTAACCCATGCTCTCACACTTAAATGGAAGTGGGCCGGACACATCTCACGATACACAGACAAGAGATGGACCATTGTAACCACACGATGGAAAGGCCCATCAGGGAAAAGAAATGTTGGAAGACCATTGAGACGGTGGGCTGATGATATTATTCAAGTAGCAGGAAATGATTGGATAAATTCCGGTAAAGACAGAGAGCTATGGAAGACGATGGAGGAGGCCTTTACCCTTACAGGGGTCCATATTTCAATCATAGATACTAATTCAACTAACTAACATAATTTAAGGAAAGTCACTAACAACATTTGAAATGTAAAATAGAAATATGGAATAAATGGCTTTATTATTATTATTATCTCTTTATTCAATTTCCTTCTTATTTTTAATATTTTTTTTACAATGTAAATTATAAAAAAACTAAAAATACATTATAAAAAAATTCTTAAAAATAGTTAATCCGCTGGTAGCGGAGCAGGGCCCAAGCTACCGGTGGTCAGGGTCACAGGCTGAGGAACCTCCGGACAATGCGTGCCGTGCTGAGGATCACCGCCTTTTGAATCTGACCCTTGAGCCAACCATCTAGCAAGAGCTTCTTTAGATGTTATTATTATTATGTTTGTACGCTTCGGAGCTCACGGGTCAAAAGTGGCCCGGTCCTTTATAAGGCTTGCGTGGGGATACAGATCCAACACGTAGAGGCCGTTATTATTATTATTATTATTTATATTTGTTGCACACCAGACGAAAATAAATTCGAAACGGCACAATTTAGGCGATCTTACCGCTAGAATACGATCCAGATAACTCTGGGTTGGAAGACAGTCGTTTAAAATATAAAAAAGTGTTTCTACCATCTTTCTAAATATTAAAACAAAATAAAATGTCTTCATCTAGGTCCAATGCACGACAAGGCGGTGGTCTGCTACGTAGCCTCCTGGGCAGCGTACCGTCCTGGCAACGGGGCGTTCACAATTGAAAACCTGGAGCCTTCCCTGTGCACCCACTTGGTGTACTCCTTCGCTGGATTGGACAATGAGAAAGGCACCATAAAGAGCTTAGGTAAGAACTAGATTTGTTTCAACTTCCCTTCTATGATCTGAGGTTTCAACCTACTGCCGTCCACTGCTGAAGAAAGGCCTTGATCCTACAATAGAAATCTTCTCTTCTTCTTCTAAAGTTTTCTTCTTGCCAGGAAATAATTGTGGGATCAGAACATAATATTTTAAAGCTCTAAAGTTACTGTAATACCTACTTTGATGTAATTTGAACTTACTATACTGGCTACTATTTTGTAATGATCATAACCTCTTTTGGGACAAAGGATTCATTCTTCAGGCCTCCTCAAAATCGTCTGGCCATCATAAGTACCTATCCTCTATTTGACTTTAGTAAATAGAGCGTCATAAAGGTTGCAGGAAGTCGCTGGATGTAGGCCGCCGCCAACCGGCCATTGTGGAAATCATTGAGGGAGGCCTATGTTCAGCAATCCTGTGACTGAAATGATGATGATCATAATTGAATTAGTGAGGGTCTCACAGTGGAGACCAACAGTATAAAACAAAGTCGCTTTCCGCTGTCTGTCCCTGTATGCTAAGATCTTTAAAACTACGCAACGGATTTTGATGCGGGTTTTTTTAATAGATAGAGTGACTCAAGAGGAAAGTTTGTACGTATAAAACAGGCATACAATAGAAGAGAAAAGCCGGGAAATTCCTTTGCAACCGTGCGAAGCCGGGGCGAGCCGTTAGTAATGACAATATTTTATTTTATTCTTAACACTGACCTTTTATCTCCAGATGCATGGCAAGACCTGGAAGTAGATTACGGCAAAGCAGGCTACAAGCGTCTGGTAGGCCTGAAGAAGCGGTACCCACACTTGAAGGTCACCATCGCCATCGGAGGCTGGAACGAGGGCTCGGCCAAGTACTCCACCATGGCTGCTACAAGGGAGTCCAGGCAGAAGTTTATTGACAGCGTTATGGTGTTCTTAGAGTAAGTTGGAATTTTATGCTGTGTTCAAGTTAAACTATATTTTAGGGCGTTTTTGTCCCGCCTGTTACTGATAGAAAGATCAAGTTCGAGTAAAAAACCCAAATTTATTTTTAATTTTTTTTTCATTTCGAAATTACATTGAGGAGTGGAGATTGTCTCATTAAAACAAGCTTTAACGTCTTCTTTTCTGATTGAATTTGTTGTAGGACTTTAGTGTTTTCAACTAAAATCATCATCTGCCACTTTGCAAACTCTCCTTCATCAAACTCTTCATCAAGGAATTTTTCTGATCTGATTAAATTCGTTGCGGGTTCTAAGAGGTCCCAAGACAGTCAGGATAAAGTACAGTGATGGGATCAGTTAGTTTTTAATGTTTTAAATTGTACTTTTCCATTACAGCCAGTACAAATTCGACGGTCTTGACTTGGATTGGGAGTACCCAGCTCGCAGAGACGGCAGGCCTGAGGACAAGGCTAACTACGTGGCGCTTGTAAAGGTATCTTATTTATGAAGACTTACCATAAAGTGACAAAAAGTACATTTTTAAGGTATTGTGTGAATTATTACTAAAATCCAAACGTAAACTCCTCTGTCTGTATCTTTTCATAATTACTACAACGATGTAGATGAATATTAATAGGGATAAATAGCTATGATTGAAGCTCTCAAAAAATTATAGAAGATGTAAAGGGTCTGCTCAATTTACCTGCTAAATTGTTACCGTGATCAAGCTCTTCTCCCTGCTGATACATACTTTTATAATGTCATCTGCGAGTGGCCGTCATATCTTCCAAACCTTGTTAACAATATTGCTAAGGCTGTATGTCCTATGAACCCTCTACCATCCAACAGGAGCTGAGCGAAGCCTTCAAGCCTCGAGGGTACATCCTAACAGCAGCTCTTGGAGCGGGCAAGGACACCATGGACGCTGCATACGACCTGCCCAAGCTGAGCCGTTACCTGGACTTGTTGCACATGATGTGCTATGACTACCATGGGACATGGGACGGGACAGTTGGAGCTAATGCTCCTTTAAGGGGCACTGCTGAAGAAGATGTCCTTAGTGTGGTAAGTACGAGTTCTCTGACCTGTGTTGTGTGTTCAGTGTAAAGCTGTTGAGCTTTACACTAAAATGAAGTCAATTCTTAATTTCTAACTCCTCCTATGTTCTTCTGATTAATTTTGTTGCTGGTCCAATGACAGTTTATCTTTCCCTGGAACAAACTTGGCCTTCACTGGTTGGTTTTTGTTGGCGGCCAAGCTGTAGATCCTGGCTGCATATGAGTTGGCAATTTATTATGATGTCACTTATTCGCTATCTGACTGACAATTCACTATTTATTTAGAACTTTTGCCTAAAACACTAGACAGTTCCTCATTATCCAGCTATTCTGTATCCAAGAACCTGCCAAATTCTGGATTTATCATTTACCTTCTTGCCCCCAGGAATACACAATCAAGTACATGATCGAGCACGGAGTGAGCCCTTACAAGTTGGTGCTCGGTCTGCCGATGTACGGACGAACCTTCCTGCTGAAGGATGCCGCGACTCGAACCATCGAGTTCGGGAAGACGCCAGCGCAAGCAACTGGGTTCAAGGGACCTTTCACGGGAGAAGCTGGTTTCATGGGATTTAATGAGGTGAGCTTTAAGCCTTTAAGGATTTGCCGCACTGGAGGCGTTCTGCGGTCTGCGGTCAGGTCAAAGTAAACGCAGCCCGCATCATGTATGAACAACATTGTCGGTCAGGGTAACGGTCAGGGGTTCGATCAAGACTTTTTAAGTATTAGCTGTCCAAATTATGTAAGTCTTATACTTACACATTGTTTGGCGATAGAAGGGTTTAAGGGACCTTTCATGGGGGAGACAGGATTCATGAAGTACAAAGAGGTAAGGATAAAGGGACTAATGGCTTTGCAATGGAAGGAAGTTGATGCTTAACTTCTAACTCCCTTTACGTTCGTCTGATTACAATCGTTGCGGGTCTCACGCGACAAACTTGACCTTCATTGGTTGGGTTTTATTGGCTGTAAAGCTGTAGATTCTGGCTACACAGGCGTTGCTGCAGTGGAGACGAGACTAAGCCTAATAGTGGGTCTAAATGCCAATTCGAGAGTCAGCAATTCGATCTCTACTAACTGCTAGAATACTTTGACACACGCTCTCACTCGCCTCTTACGACATCTTTAAGGGCTATATTTGGCGGCGCCATGGTGTTCCGGTGAAACATAGCCCTAAGAAGAGTAGAGTTGGTCTCATTCTGCCCTGCCCCACACCTCTCAGGGAGAATAATGCGACCCTAACCCGTCTGGCCAGCATAGGGAGTGTAAGCCAAATCCCCCATTTGCCTCGGTTAAATTAGAGAGGGTCGTCCTCCTGCTGTGGAGACTTATAACCTGTGATGATGAGCCCAATTTACCTCTTTAAAAAAGAGTTAAAATATTACTCTACTATTACAACTACATATTTAGATTTTTACAACTATTTGATCCTCGATTAAATAGTTCAGTAAAGGACTTCTCACATTCTTTCCAGATCTGTCAAGAGATCTCCAACACGTCCTCCAAGTGGACGCACCACTGGCACGACCAGTCCTCCACGCCCTACCTCCGGGATGGGGAAAGGATCATTACCTACGACAACGCCAGGTCCATCGCTATCAAAGTCAAGTAAGTCAATCTGACTCCCTGAAAGGAAAATTCTGATTAATTACTTTCCAATGACAGTTTAGACTTCCCATAGGGCTTGGGCTTGGCCTTCTCTGGTTGAGTTTTTCTTGATTGTCAAATGAGAGATCTTGGATTTAAAGGTTTCTGCGATGGGAATGGGAGGTGGTCAATCTATAAGTACTTACTGTGGTTAAACTAAAGTCAACATTACATTTATATGAGTATCTTTAATTTGTACTTTGAAAATAAAGGAATGGCTACTCGAGCGGACAGAGATGTGATGCTCTCGGATTATTCTAAAGTTCTTGTGACCGTACTTTTCGAGGAACTACGGCATATTTATATGCTCCTTAACCCTCTTACTGAAGTTAAAAGATATAATTAGCTGTTATAAGCCCTTGATATAAGACCAACCAGTGCTCAATTACTCTACAGCTCGCTTATCCCATTGTATTCATCATACTCTCATATTTTATAGCCCAGTGAAAAAAGTATCGGATCTATACTCGCTAATTTCTAGTTCTACTCGCTTCTCATACATCATCAGAAGTAGCACATGCCTAATGGCTACATTTCCTCAATTTTTCTCAGGGTTCGAGGATATATATCAAGGGATATATATCAAGATATATATCGGATATATATCCGATATATATCAAGCCGGTTTTAATGATATATATCAACTTTTAACATTTGTTACTGTATTTGTACTTTTTGACATAAGATTTTTATTTTTTTAGTTGATTTTGCCGTATTTAAAAGAATATTTTATGTTTTTGCTTTATTTGTCTGATTTTAAGGTTTAAAAACATTAAAAACATGTTTATGTAGCACATATGCAATAGTATTCATGAATAATACAATAAAATAATAATATGGCTTTCATACAAAATTGATATATATCAAAGTTGATATATCGGATATATATCATAAATATCCGATATTTTGATATTTATAATAAATATCGGATATTTTCGAACCCTGATTTTTCTCCAGAATGGCCAACGACTACGGCCTGGGCGGTCTCATGGTGTGGAGCATAGACACCGACGACTTCAAAGGCATCTGCGAGAAAGAGACCGACGCGTACGTCGACTTCGTGGACCGCTACAACCAAATTAAAGACGATCCTGTCATGACTGAGGCCTTGAAGACCCTAAACCTTGCTGATGGTAAGTCTACAGTTAGCTTTGAAATCCTGATCATCATTTCAGCCACAAGACGTCCACTGCTGAACATAGGTCTCCCCAATGATTTCCACATCGCCAAAAAAAATTATAACTCGAAAACTATCAAGTCACGGTGATTTAGGTAGCCCTAGTGATGCTCTACCTCTGGACTTCGGCTTGACATTACTTTTTGGGACACCCTGTATGGGAATGTTTATAACCATTGTCTAGTTCCCATAGTACAAGATATGCTTAGTTTGGGACTAGATGGCGCAGTATAAATTAATGTCCTTCATCATCATTAGGTCATTAAATAGGTAGTATCCGGTACATGAAGACTATCTCTAATATTCCATTCATCTCTAAAGCCCGGTCTGCGAGCACGTAGAATTTTGTCCAATGACCCCTAGCTACCCATCCTTATCGCTCGCGCGTAAATATATTGGTGTCGCGACTGTGCGACGGGCGCCCTCAGTGAGTGTGCGAGCGCGATATCAACATAATTACGCGCGAGCGATAAGGATGGGTAGCTTGGGGTCATTGGACAAAATTCTACGTGCTCTCAGACCAGACTATAGTAAAATGTCTTTTTATATTTATTTATTCACCAAACCTAAAATCCCAAAGATCTTTAGACACTCCAAAAGTTCTCTAAAAAAATTATTAATCCTTTAAATTACAGCAAGCCGAATCAGCAAGAGAACTCACTACTCCGTTTCCAACGGGCAACTGCACCTTCGTCTACCAGAATCCCAGTACACCAACTACCCTCTCATGGAGACCATAAACGACGCCGCCATGTTGGCTATGGAAGAGAAGAGGATCATGGATGAGATGGACAGGATTACGAAGGAGAACGAGATAGATGATGATAAGACGAAGCCGGGAGCTGGAAGTAGAATGGCGAGTTCCATGGCTGTGATTTTATGTTGTTTGTTGGCTTGGTTTTAGATATTCTAGGTGAGTTTTTTGTTCTGGCAGATCTATATTGTTCTGGCTGATCTATGTATGTTGTTCTGGCTGATCTTTATTGTTCTGGCGAATCTATATTGTTCTGGCTGGAATTATAGAAATTCTGGCAAAATTAATAAGGTTCTGGCAAATTTAAAAATTTTGGCAGAATAATTCTAGCTGAGTGTTGGTTTATTCTGGCTGTTTCTGTCTGACGCCCGTATTCACAAAAGATACTTGCTTATGTAAAGCATCAAATCAAACGCACAGCGTTAAATAAAGCTCTGTGATTGGTTCGTGTGTCACCCTGTGCGTCCACGCGCACTGTGAGACCTCATAGTAATGTTTGTGAATACGGGCGTTAGTGTCGGTTATTCTGACCACCTGCGTTTTTTTTTATATTGCAAAAATTATGCCTTTTGTCAAAGAACTGCGTTTGATTGTTTAGTGTTTAAAATTAATTAAAACTCTTTCCAAGAAAACATTTTAGGTAAATAATTCCATCTAACATTAACTTGCCTAGATTCTTTCATCTTGTAAATATACACGTACTTATTCCGAGATTATATCCAAAGCACCTAATATTTTGTGCATTTAAAACTAAAAGTAATACATAGTCAAGTGTTCCTTTTAGAATATTTTTCTAATTTTTTTTTAGTTAAAACTCATTATTACGAACTTAACGTCTACAATGTTTTTCTAATCCAAGCAATATTTTAGGTAAAATTGTAGTAGTTAAGTTAAAGGTACTTACGTATTTTATTTAAATATTAGCACCAAATATTTAATGAATGAATAGAATGTCTTTTTAGCCACATCCACACATTTGGCTGTGTTGACTTATTAAATGAATCCAAAAATTCAAATAAAAAAATATTGTAATATTAAAGTTTACACCAATTGGTTCAAAAAAAGGAAAATAAGAAACAGCTATTGTATAAAAAAAAGTTGATAAAAGTCCTAAAAGTTTGAAAAAAATTGATAAATAGAAACGTTTGTTTGTCAAAATTACATGTAAAGTGCTGCCCATACTATTTCCATTACATTACACGATACATTGCATCACGCGTTACACCCGATTTTGGCGCAAACTAGCCAATGTGTGGATGGGGCTTAAACACTGTACATAATTATAATTTAAGATTGAATAAATTGATGATAAAATCATAAATCATCAAATAATTACTCATCTCTAATACTGCCACTTTTAAGAAATTTTTAGGTGTAATGTTATTTTTATATTTCTTAATTGCTAAGAAAATAAAAGACTATTAATTATATCAATATCGATTGTATCTGTGATTTAATTAAATATCACATTATCCTAAAGGAATTTTATTGTTTTGGTTTGTAAGACCTTATTTGATATAATAACGATTTTGTACTTTTTTTTATAATAAAAAACAATTTTCATAAAAACTGGTTTTATTTATTTTTAGATTTTGATGTAATTATTTTTCAATATAAATCCTTCATCTTTGGTTTTTTTGAAATATTTTTTGTTTTTCAGTTATCCTTTTTTATGTTTTTTTTTTTTAAGTTATTTAATAATCTTCATTTGTTTAGAATATAAAATATATTTTTACTTAGAAGTGTCATAAAATAAAAAAGATTGAGTTTCCTGTGTTTTTATTATAGTTCATTCATTTTGTAGCCAAATAAGAACAGTTACACAATAAATAAATACTTATTTACCGACTATATTTACATAAAATAATAAATTATAAAAATTATTTACAAATCTTCGTACGGAGATCCACAACGCACGTTGTAGAAATGGTCACAAACCTAAAAAAAATACAAATAAATATAAATAAAAGTTGGTATATTATTTTGACTTATGGTCCTATGTCCCCTAGATCACGGTAATAATATCATACAGTATTGTAACTTCATATAAACCGACGAAACGCGAGCATTCCTTCGAATTTCAAATCTCGGTACGCGGTCGAAAGTAAAAGTTAGGGGTGTCGCGAATGTGCCGAACGGACGTCGATGGCCTAGTGTTGAAAATGACTAAGTTTATTGAATTGGACTTACCGTCTTAAACGGTCAAATTTGTCAAAAACTACCTAGTCATTAACTGTCAGAAATGGTCATTTTCAGTAAGTTTGATTTGAAATGAAAATTATATTGTATTTAAAACCAGCTTTGGCCCACGACTTCACCCGCCTGAAATTAAAGCAACAGGTCATTATGATTAGTAGATTCAAAATTATTTTAGTATATTTTTTTAAATTAAATCTACTAATCACAAAACAACACGCATTTTTATCCTATTCCATTCAAAAAGTATTTTGTTTGTCTAAATAAAAAAAAATTACAATCACAATACTAGATAGAAATTCTAAGTAGACAGATGTAATTAGAATGGGTACTGTAGGTGAGCAGCCCTATCGCATGTTGTCATACCGTGACGTACCGCGGGGCTGTTGACATTTATTTCAAAAATATGGCCGAGTTGGAATACTGTATAGATAGTATTACCGTGCTTAGATGGGGCAGAGGTGTACGTTACGTCCACAACAGTCCTCCATCTCGTTCGGTCTTTAGCATATTATTTTACTTATAATATTAGTATTGAAATTAGGTCAGTCGTTATTACACAATCATAACATCAACACATTATGAGTGTGTTTTTTCGATCGCAACACCTGTGGCGGCTGAACGCGTATTTTCTTAATTTTCCATGCGGCACTGCAATACTTGGTATTGCTATATTTTGAAAGTTAAAAAAAAAGTAAAAAATAACAGTGAAACATCTAACTACATGTTGGGAACTCAATCTAAAGCAATCGTTATCATTTGAGAGTTCATAACGTAAGGTACGATTATTCATTAGTCAAACGCTTTGTTTAACTGACTTTATCAACTACCTCTGATTCTGCTTTACACAATTCTACCTCTGATTCGAGATCCAAGGAACGCTAGTTAGATGCTGTCTACCACTGGACTATTTACTGATTATTTAGGTAAAGTTACATGATTAAAACAAACGAAGACTATGAAAATATATTACCTGGAACTGTTCGTTGAAGAGCGTGCCATTCGCGCACAGGTCTGTGCTGACCAGCCGCTGTCGCCAGCAGAAGTGGTAAGCCTGCAAGCAAGTGTTCACATCTAAATATATTATGTAACTCCAAGACGACTGACTGACATATAAGTAGTGATCAACGAACAGCCCAAACCACTGGACGGATCGGGCTGAAATTTGGCATGCAGGTAGATTTTATGACGTAGGTATCCGCTAAGAAAGGATTTTACGAAACTCCACCCATGGGTAAAACGGGTTCCACGTGTACGAAGTCGCGGGCGGCCGCTAGTCTATAATAATGTTTGTGCTGAGAAAATAAAGATGTTTATTATTATTGAGAAGAAACCTGGCTATTGCACCATTAACAGTATTGTACGAGTAGGTCTACCTATGTTACTTACATTGTATCTTCACTATTTAGTATGTTCAAGTAAACGATTTTTCAAACGCATTTATTAGGACAGAAAAATATTAAGTACCTACCTACTTACTTAATTACCAAGACAAAGGACAAAAGGTCTAGCCTTATTTCAAATGCATAGTAAAGCATCAACTTATCAAAGTTTTTTATTAAAACAAATTAATAAGGCTACACATTCATCAAAAAATTTGAAAATTACCTGGCACCCCGAGTAGACGTCAGCAAAGTACCCCCTATTGCGCCCCCCACAGCTGAATTCCGTCGGTGGGGGGTGTTCGAACACCGGGTATAGGGGCGGGTCATGAGGTAGATGGAGGTCGTGGTAGTAGTCTATGGGCAGCTGGCTGAATGCCACCGCTATGCCTGTGGGAAAAAGAAAATACAGGACTACCACACAAATAAAATTCATTTTATTTTTGCAAGCAGGCTGTTAAAAAGCACTTTTACACGACCAAGGATCAACCCTACCACTGCTTCGGGACAATAAATGGGACAGTGCTGAGAAGAAGCAGCTCAAGAAACTCAGTCACTATTGTCAGCCTCTTTTTCAAGAGATTACATTCTTTATAAAATACATTGTTGTTAAATATGTCTATAATGTCACTGGCAAATGCACAAGCCGTGAGAGCCATTAAAAAATACGATCAAAGATGGCTGCTTGGCGGGAAAATGAATTGTCATATTTAATAGACAGTTTAGTTTTAAAATTTTCTATGAAATTAGGACCTACCTAAATGCTCAATTTTCAAGTAGATAATTATAGAGACTTGAGTCCGAATCTGCCTATATTAAATAATGTTAAAAAATATAATTTATTAGAAAAACAAACGCTATCAAAAGACTGTCAAACTCCATGTACAAAAACACCGGTTTTCGTTCCAGTTACGGTTAAAGTTTAGTTCTATTCTTTAGTTTCATTTTAGTTTTAGTTTAGTTTCATCTGTCAATCAATCAATTAAAGAGCAAAACACGGATATGGAATCAACATTGAAATTACAAAAAATACTGGCCTTTCCATACAAAGATAATCTTATTAGAAACAGTTTTCCATACAAGAGTATTTCCTGCATTTCATACAACAAAAACAGACAACCTCTAAAGAAAACTCAAGGATTTAAATAACTGTCTTTGTGATTGACATCAATATTTATAAAAAAAAAATTTCATTTGTTCTTTCTTTCTTATAAAGTAATAGTCATTTATTTTTACTTTGAGGGATTTACGCATAGTTAACGGGATTATTAGTCATATAAATTTAAAAATTGCTAATCTACCATATAAAAATAAGTCGGGTTTTCCTCCCTGACGCTATAATCCAGAACGCACGAACCGATTTCCACGGTTTTGCATTCGTTGGAAAGGTCTCGGGCTCCGTGAGGTTTATAGCACAGAAAATTCGGGAAAAGGGGGTAAAACGGGATCCACGCGTACGAAGTCGCGGGCGGCCGCTAGTATTCTTTAAAAACAATTTAATATTTATTTGCAAAAATTGCACAAGTAAAGCACTGTTTTAATTTTTACTATTGATCGGGATGTTATTAATTGATATAAGATAAAAAATAACAATATAACAATCAAATACCTACCCAAAAGAAACACAACGATACTCCTCAACATCTTCTTTAACACTATAATTAAAATTTAAATTAAACAATAATTTAACTAAATAAATAAATAATGGCGTGTGCGCACGAAACGGAGTCGCGCGCGAGATTAGCCGGGCTATATCGTTCACTAATCCCAATCGAATTCAGAAGGCGATCGATATTGATCCGTGGATGGTGGTATGCATGATGTAGTTAACCATGAAACTAATTCACATACTGTCCAACCCATTCAATACCTACTCACTCACGAGCTAACTGCGCACTTCACTGGAATGCGATTCCACTCCCTCGCACTTACTCGTACATATCTCCCCGCGTTCGTCCCGTCCATGCAGCGTCTATGTGACGTCACGGCTGCTAGGTACGCAGTGCTACGTCACGTCACGTCACGGGTTGGACTAGTATTATTATGGTAGTACGAGTATAGGTACTATCATGACATGGATACTACACATTGTAAGAAGCGTAAAGAGATAAATATGCGAACATCAAGCCTGAAGATGAAACTGAGCCTCTTTTTACAATATGAACGAGGAAGCTGCCCTGCATCTAGCCTTAGGGATGATGATCAGGCTAAAGGTGGTAGCGAGCTTCACCCGGAATCCTCAACCACAGAGGAACTGATATCTTACTGCCGGACTTCAACAATACTGTATAAGATGGTGGTAAGTAAAAGAAGATCCAGACGAACTTAGAACAAATCCAAACTGAACAGAAAATTTTACCCTCTCTGGAAATCGAACCCGGGACCTCTGGGTCTGTGGTTTTTTACAGTGTGTTTGGGATAGAGCTAGCGATAACTTAATTCGATTTTGTGCTATCAATTGTATCGACAAGAATGCCCCCATATGTGGATTGTTGGCCTACCCCCCTACTCTAAATTTTTAAAATTTATTTTTTATGTGACTACACAAAAATGTTATTTATTTCTTATGTGCCCGTCTTACAGATAAACAAAAAACATAATTTGAAAGCCAATAATATGTGTTGAAAGCCAGTAAAATGAAAACGCAAAAACTTTTAAAAATAATGAATTTCAGTTTTAGTCAAAAAAATCCGATTTTTTTAATCCGTTCAAAAATTAAGCGCCCCCAAATTAACTATACGCCAAGTTAAATGTACTTATTTTTTGTTTTGTTTATCTTACATAAGCCCGTCCCCCGTAAGCGTATCGTTTTTCGCACACGCAAGGCCGCCAGCGCCCGGCCTTGCCCGCGACTCCCGCGAGCCATTTGACCATAAACTGACAGTGACCGACAGACCGACAGCCGACTGACCACTTAACTATATCGTCTTCCCACATGTGTCTTTACTAATAGTAGACATTTATGTTTGTTTGTTTGTAACGCACGTTTGCAAGCTAAAACCGCAAAAACTAAATTGTTAGATTGAACCTATAAAGTACGGCCAACGAGAAGCGATACCAAATGTAAACAAACCCAATGTCATGGTCATTTGGAATAGCAGGGGTTTGACTTTGACATATTTTGGCGGGAGAACGAGACATTACGACAAATACACAAGATGGGAAGAGACAGAATAGATTGTCAGTTCGACAGTCGAATCGACCTTTTGTTGGCCGTACTTTACTAGAACACTAGTATTTATATTATCTGTGCTAGAACGAAACAATAGGTTATAGCCTGACCAGGAACATAAAAACCCTCGCCATGTTGCGGAAAACTAATGGTACTAATTTCTTTTAATGGCAACAGTAACTGAAAACTTCATTGACATGTCACCTTGCATGTCAGTCTATTGCTGTCAAAGTGTAAACAAACTTTATTTTAAATGTGTGCAATTGATTTTGTGAATTAAATTGCAAAAATATTTTTATAGTCGTGAAAGAAAAGTGGTTCACAATGTGTTAATGTATTTGTCGAAGAGAAATACCAAGGGTTCGGACAATATTTTCATTGAATAATGTTTCCGACAAAGGTTGTCAAACTGACTGACATGTTTATCGTATAGTACAGTCCACTATGAAAATTAGCTGTAGTTTGTTTCAACTACCTATTTTAAAGTTTTTTGTCACTTTCTAAGTTTTGAATTTTATGGAATTGGGAAAGAAGTACCGAGTTTGAAGCGTTCATGAGCAGACATTGCAGTTGAATATTCAAGTTCTGAATTTGATTATTGATGAATAATAAAATAAATCCTACTAGCTCGATTGATGGTTTCATTTAATTTATTTAAACCAGGTTACCTTTAATAATATTTTTTCGTTAATTTATGAAAATATCAAATTAGCCCGTAATCCTGAATCCTGATACATAAATTTAGCCTATTAATTTAACACAGGTACGACTGTACTCAGTGTTGCACTATCAAATGCAATTGACGCGCCTCTATGCCAGGGTTTTTATGTTCCTGGTCAGGCTATACGTTTAATCACAAAAAAATTTGGAGATGAAAACTCGTTAGAACCCACTTAAATTTAAGCTTGGGATTTCACGTTGCAGCTGGCCAGACAGATTATTGAGTCCAGATTTGTCCTTTATTTAATCACCTTTTAAGACATCTACTCTGGCGGAACCACAAGGAACATGAAGAGTGAAAAAATGAAGCACATCCATTTGTTAGTAGATCATGGGATTCGATCATTATCATCATGATTTCAGCCACAGGCGTTAGACCTCCCCTAATGATTTTCAGGTGGACCACTTGGAAACAGCCTGCATCCTGCGCCTTCTTGAAACCTTCACAATTTGTAACAAAATTTTAATCTCTAATTACTTATTTACAATATTTATTGTAGAATAATCACATTTAAGTGGTCCTTCTCTGTTATATCTACCTTGACCTTACTATAACAGCTTCCTAATACCACATTTTAAGTACCTTGATATGTCTGGCTCGAGTTTATCAGAGTCGTGATTAAAAAATCTCTTAACACGGCTGTACTGTGTTTAAATGCAAGTTTAATTCCAATTCTGCAATCCAAACCAATTTATATTATTATTTAAGTTCATCTAAAAGTCACATCCGCATCGTCTCTTTAGGCGCATTTTTGAACACAAGAGCGTGTGTAATCTTGTTCATAATATACCTACTTATACGAATATAACGCACATATTCACAAACATTTTATTTTTTTTTTTATAATAAATTTTTGGACAATTTCACACAGCGCCAGCTAGCCCCAAAGTAAGCAACTTAATGCTTGTGTTATGGGTGCTAGCTTAACGGATATACTACTTATATACTTTTTTTTTTAATCCATAAATATTATACATAGTCACACCCAGGCCCGTCACATAAATTAAAATTTCTGCCCGGCCGGGAATCGAACCCGGGACCTCTCGGCATAGTAGTCCGTTCTGAACCACTACACCAAACGGCCGACAGTGAAATATGAAGTCTCACAGTGCGGGTAGACGCACAGGGTCACACACGAACCAATCACAAAGCTCTATTCAACTCAACTATCGATTTGCTACTTAAACTCCTGGTTGGCAAAAGAAGTTTTAGGGCGACCACGGACCAGAATTCGTAGAGTGGGCACTGTGGGCAGTGCTCCCACTAAGTGGATCGACGATCTGGTGAAGGTCTCAGGAACCACCTGGATGCGGGAGGCGCAGGACTGGTTGTTATGGAAATCCTTGGGGGAGGCCTTTGTCCAGCAGTGGACGTCATTTGGCTGAACTGGACGAACGAACGAAAGGACCTATTCTTATTTTTAGAAACTAAATAATACGTAATACTGACCTCTTTGAGCTATTAAAACATTCGAATTTCAAAAACAGACAGTTGATGCATGAAAGTCAAACTGTCAAACTTTCATATTTAGAATTCGACCTCAGCCAGTAACATTCCGTACGATCCACAAACATTCCATCGTATTGTCTTTGCCATAGAGTTCAAAGTTTGAATGTTTCGTCTGGCACAAGACAAACTGCGAGATTGACAATTGAATAGAATGCAATAAATCATTTGTTTTACTTGTACCTGTTTCAGTAGCGCCAGTAGGTACCTATTACAAAAGAGTAGGTAAACTACACTCGACATCAAAATAAATCGCACTTCCCGCGACAAGCATTTTCAAACGTATGCATCCCCACTTCCCACCAATATTGGCCCCATTTAAAAGCCTAACTAGTTCTAACCTTCATTTCACTAAAGGAAAGGTTTTTACCCCAAAAATGTGTCTTTAGAAGGATCCAGAGTCACTTCTTCAAAAAATAGGTAGTTACGCTTGAGCCTCAGAATACGGAACAAACCAGAAACCGTCAACGGGCGTAAATGTGTATTCATATAAAGTACTCCAAATCGCACTAGTTTGACTTTAGAGCAATCAGTCAATGGCCGGCGCGCGCATTGTTTACATATCCGTCAGATTGACACTTTATAATTAAATTATGCCGTCTTGTGCCGTTCCAACATGTAAGAATGCTACTGGAATTACGAAGAAAGTGCATGGGATCATGTTTTATCCGTAAGTAGCACATTTCCAATTCATTTTAATTAAATAATAATTTTCAAAAAAAATCACGGTCGTATTTTGTAAGTGTTGCCACAGGTCAACGGAATATTTTACCCTACTTTTTTATATTGAATTACATTTGTCTACTTATAAAAAATTCACGCGTTAATTTTGTTAGCGTTACCACAGAATAATGGAATATTTTCCCCATCCTTTTTGTTTTAATTAGTTTTTAGTGTAATTTCATCCATGACATGACAACCTGATTAATTAAATTATAAGTGCCACTTGTGGTCTAAACTGAATAAATATTTTTGATTTTGATTTGATTTCAATATATTGAATTAATTTATAATATTACTCCCTAATAATAGGGAGTAATATTATAATGAGGAGATAATAAATTACTATCGTGAATTTCATACTTTCCCATTTATTCAAAAGTAAGGCATTGGTATCAACAGATCAGCAGCAGCAATATTTGTATATTTAATAATAATTTTAAGTAATTAACTATTGCTTACATACTTACTCTGATTTTCTTTCAGGATACACAGCCAGAGTTGCCTCGCAATCAAATTTAAGTATTGGTGATGTTTTTGATTTGGATTCTGTTTTTGACTCCAAGAAAAGTTAAACTAAAAGCACTACTGCGCCGTAAACAAATGTTTTGTTGTCGATATGTTTACATAATAAA